AATGCACCTTATTATTATCATACTTTTTCTAGTATGGGGTATGTGCAGGTTGGTGAACAGTGAGTAAAAAAGTACTCTGTCAATGCTCGAGCGAATTCTCCTGAACCCTAAAAAATCTTGGTGGATTTCACCGCTCTTTTATTGCTGGACAATGAAGAGGTCAAAAATAGACATTTAGTTTTAGAACAAACTTGGAGACCTTTCATAATGCTGTGGAAAGGTATTTCATTTACATAAAGACTCTAATACTGATATCGGTAAGTTGCGCATTGCCATGAAAATGATTAAGCAGAAAGGTATATCAATGGCAAATCGCTTGATCCAACAAGTTGACTCTTTGAAGAGTGGAGTAAACTCCTCCAACAATGTGCTTGTTGTTACAGTTCAGACCTCATACTCCAATCTTCTGTGGAATGTGGAACGTTCGTAAAACACCTTCTGTAAGTAAGTGAATAACTCCCTCAAGTACTTTTGGGTTGGTCATTAACTCTACTGGCTGAACCTTTACTTTTTGAACTAACTTTCAATAGCGGCATGTACCTCTCTATCTCTTGGACTAATGGTTTTTTGTCTCTCTGACTCTTAGACTACTCTATTATCTGCTGTCTTTGATTTAGTCTCATCTACTTTTCGCAATTCTTTTATACTATTAAAAGGGGGAGAAAAAATATATCTTTCTTACCGCTCTGTGAGATGGGGGAGATACGACAGAGAGAGCTACATACAATGAACTAAAACATGAAACCTCATGGAAGTACTACTAACTTTCTCAGTAAAATTTATTGTCCAGATTACAATTAAAATTGTGATCAATCTTATAATTATAAAAAGGGGAAGATTGTTAACTACTAAGAGTTAGTTGATTTTGAAAATGGACACCTAACGCGTTGATCTCAATTTTCATAGGTCACAAATTCATAAAGGAAATCATCAGCGCAAACGACTTCAAGAAGGAAAATATTTGCTTGAAGTTGCAAAGTAGCATTGAAAAGGCAAGCCTCAAATCTAAGGGATAAAAGCAGGAAAAGAATATGTGGTTGATCAACATAAAAATGAATGTCTAAATAAAGTAGAATACTTGCACACTTTGCAGAGATCACAACCGAATCATCAAGAAAGGAAATAGTTAAATCAGTCCACAAGATAAAAATTATGTTGATCATACAAGAAAAATATCAAACCAGCAAAATGAAAGCAGAAGAAGCGATTAACTTCATGGATACATATCAACTAAATCTCCTCAATCAAGCACTCCCTAAATCGATCCTTGGTTGAGATAAATCCCTTGGGGTTTTCCTTACAAGAGCACATATCATCATCTACATAAATCGACCAAGATTTGTACTGTAAACTATGGAACTTTACTTGAGCTTAGCCAATAGTTTTCTTTTCTCTTTAATAAATCTTCGTAAACACGTGAGTGATACAATTGAAAAGAAAAGAGAAAAGAAAGAATATGAGTGTATGTATACAAGTTGAGGCAGTGTCAACGTAGAAATCTGATTTGCATATGAGACATGATAAAGTTTCAAATTTCTATAATACGATGATCGCTTCAAATCTCTTAATGAAAACCCTTAAATCCCATGGGTACTTGACTAGACACTGCATTGGTGAGCCGAACCAGGATAAAACCTTTTGTGTCAATCATTTATTGCATCTTTTTGTTATTGTTTATATTCCTAGCAACTTGAAGGTAAATCGACTATGGGATATTGGTAGTTTACTAAGTGAATTTTAAATATAACCCCCCTCCCCATATCATAATAAACTTAAAAAGAAATAAGGGCTTTAGCTATATTCAAACACTTGTTTTGTGGGTGATTCCTTTAGCACAAGGATAGCTCTACACTCATTAAAACTGCGCTGTAAATTATATTTTTTTTTGCCAGAGATAGATATACCTAAATATGCACCCACACATATGAATGTGGGTCCGCCTCTCACAACAAGATAAAGTTACTTCACGAGTGAAAATCATTAGTGCAAGTTTCAGGCTCTGATACGGCATGTAAAAACATAAAAATTTATGCTTATAAAGAAATTAATATATTTACATAAAAGGAATTTGAACGAGCGTATCTGAGGCAGCAAACGAGATCAATCTCCCTTTGCCCTATCCTACGCGACTTTAACTTTCGTGATTGAATTGAGTGGCGGTTTTAACCCTAATGAATAGAAAATGACCAATTTATATTATTCTACTGAAAATGTTATTGTTTTTGTTGCCCAACATATAATCTAATGAAATGATGTAATCTATTAAATTATTTTTATTAAATAAAAATTATATGGTACAACTAATTTACTATATGCAACTATCATATTAGTAATATTAGTAGTGAATGCTTAAAATAATTACTATTAATAGATAATATTTTAATTCATAGAAAAAGTATATAAACACAACTATCTAATATTTGGTTTTAATATTAGGCGTTTCTAGGCTAATCTTCATTTGCTCAAATAAATCGCGACTTATCCAAAAGAGGATAACTATTTGATAGTTTTTTATTAGTTTTTCATGAACAAGTGTATTTTTGTGATTGATTTTCCTCTATTTAATCTCAAGCATTATTACAGATGGTAATTGAGCGAATTAGATCAATTTTAGTCAATCATATTGTGTCAAGATAACAATCGGTTCAAGATCCAATTCAAACTGAATTAATTGGAACAATATGAATTGAGCCAAAAAGGAGCAGATAATGAGTAAAGACCCAACTCAAATCAATTTTCACCTAGTTTAATTAATTTATTTGTTCTTTTAAAATATTTTACTACACAACAACATTACGATAAAATTATTTTATGGATATATGTAAAGAATTATACTACACAACCTCCTACTTTTTCATTAGGGATGGCAATGGGGCGGTGTATGGCGGGGCTGGTGCGGGTGGAGCTTAACCCAAAAACTTTTTAATCCGCCCCGCCCAGCATAGCAAAAATTTTCATTTTCAACCCTCCCTTCCACACCCTACCCCACATAGACCTGTCCCGCATGAACTCGCCCTGCATTATTTTTATAATATTTTCTTTTTTCTTAGTTATGTTTGATACTAAAACTAAAATTCATTAAAAAATTCATTTTTTCCTTAAGTTTTATTAATTTAATAGGATAGTGACTTTAAATTTTATTTTTTAGAGGTCAATTGAGAATCATGCAAGAAATTGTATTATTTTTTATGAACCATCTTCATTTATAATATTGAATAATTTTGTAGCTTTAATGAATTTATCTTAATAAATAATGTTCTGTAATTCTATGGCATGTAAGAAGTTAAAATTAAGTTTGAACCTACATAAAATCACATATACCCGCAACCCACCTTGACCCACATTAATTAAAATGAAATCCACTTCAACCCAACCCACTTCAGACCTGCCCCACATAACCTAAAGCCCGCCCCGCCTCACATACCGTTAAACCTATCCTGCCCCGCATCCGGTTCACCTTATTGCCATTCTTATTTTTCTTGGTCGTCGAAAAACAATGGTAATCAAATTAGTGAATATAAACGCCTTACAATGTACAAACCCATTTATGTTGAGAAATTTACAATTTATATATTAACAAACAAAAAACACTCTTATATATATCATACAAAATCTTTGTCAAGAAAATTCAAATGAATATACCTTCGCCCCTTCTAGATTTGCCCTTGCATAAAAGTGGCTAAAATGCAGGAATTATATGTCAATAATACTGAACACATGATATCTCTTGGTATTTTCTATATCTCATATATATATAAATGATGATATTTTTTTAAAAAAATATCACAAAATCCGAAAATAGAATTTGATAAAATGAAGCTTAACTATTTTGAGGTGTTAAACGTCACATCAATTTTAATCTCTTTTACCATTAATTTATGTGACATTTGCTTCTTTTTTTAAGTTCTTTCCAAAAGAAAGTCTTTTCATAGTCCTATATTAAGTGTCCACTTCATCATAGATAACTATTTCAATCATTTGGATCTTTCTTATTCTTAAAATTATTACTTTTTTAATTTTGTAAATTAATCAAGTTTGAAAACCTTCAAAAAAAAAATCTTTAAGTTCAAATTAATGAAAATTATCAGTTTTGTAATGAGAAAATAAATAACTAAATTAAAATAAAAAATACATAATTTAACTGTACATTTTTAGTAAATTTATTATCACATTAATCGATAAGATTTCTATTACATGTCACATTCAAATTTTCTATTTATTTTTAATTTTTTTAATGTCGAATTAAATTGTATCACGTAATTTGATAGGGACATGACAAAACAACTAAGGAAGAAACATAATTAATTGCCCCCACCACCCACCCCACTCACCCCACTCCATATTACAATTTTGAAAATTTTAATTTAAGAAGAAAACCTATCTCCCCCTTTCCTTTTTTAGTTCCGTCTTTCACTCCACGGTGATGAAATGGAAGACTTCAAAATCGTACAAATTTGTGTTCAGCATTTGAAGGATAACGTGTGCGCAAAATGGTGTTTGATACTTTTCTAACTTTTTTTGGATGTTTACAGTAGTAATTTTAGTTGTTGATAAGATTAAAATTTTCTTTTTCTTTTGGTTTAAAAATCAAATCTTTCTCATTTGGGTGTTGTTAATTTTGTGAAATAAAAGCCCGACCTTCTATTTTGTACTTTTTTTTGTGGTAGATGTTAGTTTTCTTGGGATTTCTGAACGTAGAAAGAACCCTATCTTCCTTTATTTATTTATTTTTGTTTTTTAGATGTTGGTTTTACTGCATAACATTTCTTTTGAGTCGAGGGGCTATTGAAAATCAACTCTGAAACACCACAAACAAGGTTAGGAGTAAATTGTTGTGTACATGTTATCCTTTCTAGAACATTGGAAACTTAATTAACTTTCTGTATGGCTAAGGCACTACTCCAAGTTATACCAATATGAAATTTATCGTTTTTATAATGAGAAAATAAATAACTAAATTAAAATAAAAAATTACATAATTTATCTCTACATTTTTAGTAAATATATAATTACATTAATCTATAAGATTTCTATTACATGCAACATTCAAATTTTCTGTTTATTTTTAATTTTTTTAATGTTGAATTAAAATGTATCACGTAATTTGATACGAACAAGACAATACAACTAAGGAACATACATAATTAATTGGCCCCACCACCTTCCCCACTCACCCCACTCCATATTACAATTCTGTAAAATTTAATTTAAGAAGAAAACCTATCTCCCCCTTTCCTTCTTTAGTTCCCTCTTTCACTCCACGGTGATGAAATTGAAGACTTCAAAATCATACAAATGTGTGTTCAGCAGTTGAAGGATAACGTGTGCGCAAAATGGTATTTGATACTTTTCTATCTTTTTTTGGATGTTTACAGTAGTAATTTTAGTTGTTGATAACCTTAACATTTTCTTTCTCTTTTTTGATTAAAAATCAAATCTTTCTCATTTGGGTGTTATTAATTTTGTTAAATAGAAGCTCAAGCTTCCACTTTGTACTTTTTTTGTGGTAGATGTTAGTTTTCTTGGGATTTTTGAACGTAGAAAGAAACTTATTTTCCTTTATTTATTTATTTTTGTTTTTTAGATGTTTGTTTTACTGCATAACATTTCTTTTAAGTCGAGGGGCTATCGAAAATCAACTCTGAAACACCACAAACAAAGTTAGGAGTTATCCTTTCTAGAACTTTGGAAACTTAACTTTCTATCTGGCTAAGAAACTACTCAAAGTTATACCAATATGTATATATATTGGACATCATCCATCCTCACCTCTGAAGAAGAAACTCGACAAGCATCACCAAATTTGGGATTCGTTAGTTGATATTTATTTCTAAGTTATGTTAAGTGTTGAATTTCCTTAGGAGAGGTTGAATTATTGAGTGGAAACTTACTTTCTGTCTGGTTAGTAGAGATTTCTTGCTTTTTAAGAGATTAGTCCAAGTAAGAACGAGAAGTATATTGGATATGTTCCGTTATTAAGAAGATGCATCATCCAATTTGGGATTCTTGAGTTGATGTAAATTTCGAAGTTATGTTGTGTGTTAAATTCTCCTAGGAGAGCTTGATGTATTGAGTGGAAACTTACTTTTTGTATGGTTAGTAGGAATTTCTTGTTTGCTAAGGGATTTGTCTAAGTTAGACCGACAAGTATTTATATGTTAGACATGATCTTTGAGTTTCTTCTTCACATATGCGGAAGGATAATGTCCAACATATATACTTGTCCGTTTAACTAAGACTAATCCCTTAAGCAAACATAAATTCGTACTAACTCTACAAAAAGTAAGTTTCCATTCAATACTTTAAGCTCGCTAAGAGAATTCAACACACCATATAAATTTGAGATAAACATCAACTCACGAATCCCCGATTGGGTGATTCTTCTCGAGTTTCTTCTTCACAAATGAGGAAGCATCATGTCTAACATATATACTTCTCGGTCAAACTTGGACTCATTCCTTAGCAGACAAAAAATTTTAACTAGCTAGACAGAAAGTAGGTTTCCACTCAATGCGTCAAGCTCACCCAAGGTAATTTAACACACTACATAACTTTGAAATAAACATCAATCAAGAATCCCAAATTAGGTGATGATTCTTCGAGTTTCGTCTTCATTTGCTCAAATAAATCGCAACTTATCCAAAAGAGGATAACTATTTGATAGTTTTTGATTAGTTTTTCATGTAAAAGTGTATTTGTTTCATTGATTTTATTCAATTTAATCTCAAGCATTGTTACGGATGGTAATTGAGCGAATTATATCAATTTTAGTCAATCATATTGTGTCAAGATAACAAACGGTTCAAGATCAAATTCAAACTGAATTAATTGGATCGGTATGAATTGAGCCAAAAAGGAGCAGAGAATGAGTCAAGACCCAACTCAACTCAATTTTCACCCAATTTAATTAATTTATTGGTTCTTTTAAAATATTTTAGTACACAATAACATTAGGATAAAATTATTTTGTGGATATATGTAAAGAATTATACTACACAACCTCCTACTTTTTCATTAGCGACGACAATGGGGTGGTGTAGGGCTGGGGCGAGTGTGTTGAGCATAACCCACAAATTTATTAATCCGCCCCGCCCCGCATAGCAAAAATTTTCATATTCAACCCTCCCTGCCCCACCCTACCCCACATAAACCTGTCCCGTATGAATACGCCCTACATTATTTTTATAATATTTTTTTTTCTTAGTTATGTTTTATACTTAAAATAAAATTCATTCAAAAATTCATTTTTTCCTTAAGTTGTATTAATTAAATAGGATAGTGACTTTAAATTTTAATTTTTAGTGGTCAATTGAGAATCATGCAAGAAATTGTATTATTTTTTATGAACCATCGTCATTTATATTATTGAATATTTTAGTAGTTTTAATGAATTTATCTTAATAAATAATGTTCTGTCATTCTATCACATGTAAGAAGTTAAAATTAAGTTTGAACCCACATAAAATCACATATACGCGCAGCCCACCTTGACCCACATTAATTAAAATGAAATCCACTTCAATTCACCCCGCTTCAGACATGCCCCACATAACCTTAAGCCCGCCCCGCCTCACATACCCTTAAACCTATCCTGCCCCGCATCCGGTTCACCATATTGCCATTCTTATTTTTCATGGTCGTCTAAAAACAATGGTAATCAAATTATTAAATATAAACGCCTTACAATGTACAAACCATTTATGTTGAGAAATTTAAAATATATATATAATCAAACAAAAAACACTCTTATATATATCATCTAAAATTTTTGTCAAGAAAATTAAAATGAATATACCTTCGCTCCTTCTAGATTCGCCCTTGCATAAAAGTGGCTAAAATGCAGGAATTTTGTGTCAATAATACTGAATAGATGATATCTCTTGGTATTTTCTATATCTCTTATAGATTGAAATGACAATTTTTTTTTAAAAAAAAGATCACAAAATCCGAAAATTGAATTTGTAACTAACCTATAAAATGAAGTTTAACTATTATGAGGTGTTAAATGTCACATGCAAAAAATATTAAGAGGGCTGAATTGGACATATCACATCAATTTTAATCTCTTTTCCCATAAAGTTATGTGATATTTGTTTCTTTTTTTAAGTTATTTCCAAAATAAAGTCTTTTTATAGTCCTATATTAAGTGTCCACTTTATTATAGATAATTATTTCAAACATTTGGATCTCATTTATTATTAAAATTATTACTTTTTTTAATTTATGTAAATTAATCATGTTTGTAAACCTTCAGAAAAATATTTTTTAATTAAAATTAATGAAATTTATCATTTTTATAATGAGAAAATAAATAATTAAATTAAAATAAAAATTACATAATTTATCTCTACAATTTTAGTAAATTTATAATCACATAAATCTATAAGATTTCTATTACATGTCACATTTCAATTTTCTGTTTTTTTTTATTTTTTTAATGTCGAATGAAAATGTATCACGTAATTTGATACGGACAAAACAATACAACTAAGGAACCAATATAATTAATTGCCCCCACCACCTACCCCACTCACCCCACTCCATATTACAATTCTGTAAATTTAATTTAAGTAGAAAACCTATCTCCCCCTTTCCTTCTTTAGTTCCATCTTTCACTCCGTGGTGATGAAATTAAAGACTTCAAAATCATAAAAAATTGTGTTCAGTAGTTGAAGGATAACGTGTGCGCAAAATGGTATTTGATATTTTTCTAACTTTTTTTGGATGTTTACAGTAGTAATTTTAGTTTTTGATAAGCTTAAAATTAGCTTTCTCTTTCTCATTTGGGTGTCGTTAATTTTGTGAAATAGATGCCCGATCTTCCACTTTGTACTTTGTTTTGTGGTAGATGTTAGTTTTCTTGGGATTTTGAAACGTAGAAAGAACCCTATTTTCCTTTTTTTTAATTATTTTTGTTTTTTAGATGTTGGTTTTACTGCATAGCATTTCTTTTAAGTCGAGGGGCTATCGAAAATCAACTCTGAAACACCATAAACAAAGTTAGGAGTAAACTGTTGTGTACAAGTTATTCTTTCTAGAACATTGGAAACATAACTTTCTGTCTTGCTACGGAACTAGTCCATGTTATACAAATATGTATATATATTGGACATTATCCTTCCTCACCTATGAACAAGAAACTCGAGAAGCATCACCTAATTTGGAATTCGTGAGTTGATATTTATTTCAAAGTTATGTTATATGTTAAATTTCCCTAGGAGAGGTTTAAACATTGAGTGGAAACTTACTTTTTGTCTGGTTAGTAGACATTTCTTGCTTGTTAACAGATTAGTCCAAGTAAGAACGACAAGTATGTTGGACATGTTCCTTAATTAAGACGATACATCATCCAATTTGGGATTCTTGAGTTGATGTAAATTTCGAACTTATGTTGTGTGATTAATTCTCCTAGGCGATCTTGAAGTATTGAATGGAAACTTACTTTTTGTATGGTTTGTAGGAATTTCTTGTTTGCTAAGGGATTTGTCTAAGTTAGACCGACAATTATATATATGTTGGACATGATCTTTGAGTTTCTTCTTCATTGATGAGGAAGGATAATGTAACATATATACTTGTCCATTTAACTAAGACTAATCCCTTAAGCAAACAAAATTCCTACTAACTATAGAAAAAGTAAGTTTTCGTTCAATACTTTAAGCTCGCCAAAAGAAATCAACACACCACATAACTTCGAGATAAGCATCAACTCACGAATCCCTAATTGGGAGATTCTTCTCGATTTTCTTTTTCACAAATGAGGAAGCATCATGTCTAACATATAAACTTCTCAGTCTAACTTAGACTAATTCCTTAAGAGACAAGAAATTTCTACAAGCTAGACAGAAAGTAAGTTTCCACTCAATGTGGTAAGTTCACCCAATAAATTTTAACACACAACATAACTTCGAAATAAACATCAATCAAGAATCCAATATAGAGTGCTGATTCTTCGAGTTTCGTCTTCATTTGCTCAAATAAATCGCGATTTATCAAAAAGAGGATAACTATTTTATAGTTTTTGATTAGTTTTTCATGTAGAAGTGTATTTGTTTCATTGATTTTCTTCTATTTAATCTCAAGCATTGTTACGGATAGTAATTGCGCAAATTAGATCAATTTTAGTCAATCATATTGTGTCAAGATAACAAACGGTTCAAGATCCAATTCAAACTGAATTAATTGAATCAATATGAATTGAGCCAAAAAGGAGCAGATAACGAGTCTAGATCCAACTCAACTCAATTTTCACCTTGTTTAATTAATTTATTTGTCCTTTTAAATTATTTTAGTACAGTATAACATTAGGATAAAATTATTTTATGGATATATGTAA